ACAGCATCCATATTTGCCACTGACACCTGAAGCACCATTGGCTCTGTTGTGTCATATGACCCAAATGACAAGGCAGCTTGCACACCAGCCTAAGGTGTTGCAGAGTCTTCTCCTGTTGTGGAACCCACTCAAAACTGGCAGCCTTTCAGGTCACTTGATAAATGGAGTAAAACACCCAAATGAGGAATGTGCTGCCTCCAAAATCCAAATAGGCACAATAGGCATTGTGCCTCTTTCTTGGTTGTAGGAGGCACCAAATGCAACAACTTATTCTTCACCTTAGAAGGAATATCTTGACAGGACCCACACCACTTGAACCCTAGGAATTTTACTGAGATAGAAGGTCCCTGAATTTTAGCCAAATTTATTTCCCATCCTCTGGCATACCAATGTCTCACCAGTAAGTCCAGTATATTTGCTACTTTTTGATCACTGGATCTAATCAGCATAATGTCATTAATGTAATGGACCACTTTGATATCTTACAGAAGTGAAAAGCAATCAGGTCTCTCTGAATAGCATTATGACAAAAAGCTGGAGAGTTAATATATCCTTGAAGTAGGACAGTAAAGGCATATTGCTGGGGCAAATTGTTCTGGTGGCCCTTAAGGACAAGAATAGAGAAAAGGCATTTGCCAAGTCAATGGCTGCATACCAGGTACCAGGAGATATGTTAATTTGCTGAAGCAATGAAACCACAGCTGATACAGCAGCTGCAATTGGAGTCACCACTTAGTTAAGCTTACAATAATCCACTGTCATTTTCCAAGGTACGTATGTCTTCTGCACAGACCAAATGAAAGAATCGAAAGGGATGTGGTGGGAATCACCACCCCTGTGTCTTTTAAGCCTTTGATAGTGGTACTAATCTCTGTAATCCCTCCAGGGATGTAATATTATTTTTGATTTACTATTTTTATAGGTAAAGTCAGGTCTCATGGCTTCCATTTGGCCTTTCCCACCATAGTAGCCCTCACCCTACCAGTCAGTGAGCCAATGTGGGGTTCTGCCAGCTGCTAAGTATGTCTATGCCAATTATGCATTCTGGTACTGGGGAAATGACCACAGTATGAGTCTGGGAACACATTGAATTCACTGTAAGTGAGATGTGAGCTAGAACTCTATTAATTACCTGACTTCCATAAGCTCCTACTTTAACTGGAGGACCACAATGATGTTTTGGGTCCCCTGGAATCAACTTCAGCTCAGAGTCAGTGTCCAGTAGTCCCAGAATGTATGATCATTTTCCTTTCCCCAGTGCACAGTTGCCTTGGTAAAATGCCAGAGGTCTCCTTGGGGAAGGGTGGGAGAAAGATTCACTGCATAAATTGGAGGTAATGTAGTGGGGTCCTTCCTCAAGGGGACCTGGCCTCCCCTAACTTCAAAGGGTTTCTGGATCTGTAAACTGGCTCAAGTCTGGAAATTGATTGAGGGGCCATGATTCTCTGCTTTTGTACTTCCAATTAGTCTTTTGGTCCATTTGACCTAGAAGTTTTCTGCTTTTAGAAATTAAGTAGGAATGCAGTAGGCTACTTATCAATTCCACTTGTAGGACCACTGCGATTAATTAGTCAATGCCAGAGCTCTACACAAGTCAAACTATTCTGATTAGTACTTCTTCTCTGACATCCATTATGGTCTCTATGCTCACCTTGCCTTTGATGTTTGAGGGCCACCACTTGACCCCTGCCACCTCGGAATCCAATTATTCCCATTGTATTTAAATTATGTAGTTGAGTGACTGCCATTGTTAGATCTGACATGCGGAGAAGAGAAGGGATCTTCAAAGATGGAGGTACTTTTCTCACAAATCTATTTCTCAAGTCATTGGTCAAGGTATACCTTCTGGACTCTCCCAGCTGGGATGAGTAGGTCTAAAGTGACTAACCCACTCCATTATCCCAGTCTTCCTAAGTCTTTGGATCCCTTCCTCTACATTGAACCGAGGGTGATCAACCATTTCCAGCTTGCTCACAGTGGGGCATCTTTTAATCCATATTTCAGCTAACCAAGCAAATAAACTATTAGAACCTTTTATAACTCCCTGAGCTGCAACATTAAATGCAGAATCCTTACTTGGTAGGCCCAAATAAGTAAATTCAGCCTTATCCAACTCTGTGTTTTTTCTACCATTATCCCACACCGTTAATATCCATTCTCATGTCTGTTCTCCAGACTTCTGTTTATATAAATTAGGAAACTCAAGCAGTTATTTTTGAGTGTAGCACACCTCCGTATAGGTCCATTGTCAACTTCACCTCTAAGGTCCCTCTGGGACTTTAGTCTAGTTGTAGATCTGGAAGCGAATAGGGTGTTGAGGGTAGCTCATGAGGAAAATCATCATTATCTTGCCTGGAAACTGCCTCAGGGAAGAGCATCACTGTTGCCTCAGGTAGAATAGGGTTTATCTTCTCAGACAAAGGTGGAAAGGCTGATGGCAGCACAGGTTGGGAAGGGGATGTTGCCACTACTGGGGATGGGGAACGTGTTTCTTCTGGCAAAAAAGGCTCATCAGAGTTTACAAACTCAGTGTTCCCAGCTTCATCAGGGTCCTCTCATATGTCCTCATTCCAAGTTGCAGGGTCTTATTCTTTTGCAATTAATGCCCTCACTTTAACAATAGACACCTGGTGAGGCATGCACCTTTTGTTGCAGGTCAGCCACTCACATGATAAGAGCTTGCGTCTGTTTTTCCACAATTTCAGCTCTTTCTCTGCAGGAGATTAGTCTCTCACTCAAGACAATCTTAGCAGATTTGAGGCTCAGTATCTGCTTCTGAAGCTGGGAGATAGAATCTCTGAATTCATCATTTTCTTTCATCACTTTGTCCACTGAAATTAGGAAAAATCAACCAGCTTCTTATGTTCCTTGGTTCTCCACATATGGTCAAAGGTGTCATGTATAGAGTCACTAAACTCCTTGCCTCTCATGAGTGATGAATTAGGAGTGTCAAATGCCTTTATTTTGCATAACTCTCTAAACAGTTCATGCCAAGGACTATCAGTTTTCTCCTTACTATTAGAAGTGCAGTTCTTAGCATTTTTGGGTCTAATTACATTAAGCAGCCAACTCCAGAAAACCCCAAATCAATGAAAAAACTCAATTCTTAATATTCTGTTCCTCTAGAACCACTCCTAGTACCAAACTCTATATTAATTAACCAAACTCTGTAGGAGGACAGGACTAATAGAATATCTGTCTGTCTGTCTATCTATCTATCTTATCTATCTATCTATCTATCATCTATCTATCAATCATCTATCTATCTATCATCTATCTGTCTGTCTGTCTTTTTGTCTGTCTTTGTCTGTCTTTCTGTCTGCCTATCTATGTGCCTATCTATCTATCTATTCTCTATCTATCTATCTATCTATCTATCTATCTATCTATCTATCTATCTAGAGGAGTTTATTAAGTATTAACTCACATGATCACAAGGTTCTACAATAGCTGTCTGCAGGCTGAGGAGCAAAGAGAGCCAGTCCAAGTTCCAAAACTGAAGAACTTGGAGTCAAATATTCAAGGGCAGAAAGCATCCAGCATGGGAGAAGGATGAAGGCTGGGAGGCTAGGCCAATCTCTCCTTTCACATTTTTCTGCCTGCTTATATTCTAGCTGAGCTGGCAGCTGATTAGATTGTGCCCACACAAATTAACAGTGGGAATTTGCATTGCTTCTAAGTCTTGGCTATTGCAAATAGTGCTGCAATAAACATAGGGGTGCATGTGTCTTTGTAGTAGAATGATTTATAATCCATGTAAAATGTTTTAACTGCTATGGAGAAGAATAGGCAAAAATGGAAAATTCCTAAATGTACATTTATCTTTTGACTCTACTTTTAGAGATTTGCATTTAAATTATAGCTTCAACAATATGAAAATACATAAATAAAGACTACACATTGTAGTGTTATTTGTACTTGTAAAATATTAGATAGAAACAAACTAAATGCCCACACATTTGGTACTTCTACAAATAGGCTATTATGAAGCTACAAAAAAGAGTAAGAAATCTCTATGAACTAACATGATTTTTGATGTATTGTGAAGAAAAAGAAAATGCAGAGCATAAATTGAATGATATCTTTTGTGTAAAAAAAGAGGGAAAATATACACACACACTTTTGTAAAACAGAACTCAAAAAAAGATAAACCAGAAAATTATGAAGATTTTACCTTGTTTCTCACATTAAAAGGAATATTGTTGACATTACCTCATTTAATATAATGTTTATGGTAATATTTTCTAAGTACCTTTTTTCAAAGTAAATATTCCATTCCATGCTTAATTCGTTAATAGTTTCTTTCATGGATGGGTGCTAAAGTTTATCAATTTTTTTCTGTATTTGCTGGAGTGATATTTTTGGTGTGTTACCCTTCTCCTACATTTTTGGAGTTGGTTTGCTGTTATCTTGCTTTTGATTTTTTCATTTATATTCCCTAAAAAAATTTACTAAAATTCTTCCTCCTCATCCTTTGGAATGAAGGCACTGTTACTTCCATGCCTTTAGAATAATTATTTCCTTAACCTCTGGTAGTTTCCTGACATGCACCCACTGATTAATATTAAGCTGAATAATCTAAGAGGTAAGAACAGTGAACATGAGATCTACCTTCTTAAGGAAGTAGTTTTGTGTATACCAATTACATCCCAAGTAATCTGAAATAAAATACTCTGGGCATACTTTTTCAGATGCCCAGAGTTCTGTCTCTCCCGTTACCTAAGAGAGGTCTATTTTTTTTTTCCATCTCTCTTTTCTTGCCTTCTTTTAGATTGGCTGAGTAGCTGAGTAATGTCTTTTTTTTTTTTTTTTAACTTTAAGTTCTGGAATACATGTGCAGAATGTGCAAGTTTGTTACATAGGTATATACATTTGCCATGGTGGCTGCACCTATTGACCAGTCATCTAGCTTCCCTCCCCTTGTCCCTCACCCCCCAATGGGCCCTAGTATGTGTTGTTCCCTTCCCTGTGTCCATGTGTTCTCATTGTTCAACTCCCACTTATGAGTGAGAACATGCAGTATGTGGTTTTCTGTTCCTGTGTTAGTTTGCTGAGGATGATAGCTTCCAGCTTCACCCATGTCGCTGCAAAGGACGTGATCTCATTCCTATGCAGTCAAAAAATGGAATATTTTGCCATTTGTGTCCTCTCTTATTTCCTTGAGCAGTGGTTTGTAGTTTTTCTTGAAGAGGCCCTTCACATTCCTTGCTAGTTGTATTCCTAGGTATTTTATTCTCTTTACAATTGTAAATGGGAGTTTATTCATGATTTGGCTCTTTGCTTGTCTATTGTTGGTGTGAAGGTTATTTTTACATACTGATTTTGTATCCTGAGACTTTGCTCAAGTTTCTTATCAGCTTAAGGAGTTTTGGGGCTGAGGTGGTGGGGTTTTCTAAATATAGAATCATGTCATCTGCAAATAGAGACAAATTGACTTCCTCCCTTCCTATTTGAATACCTTTATTTCTTTCTCTTGCCTGATTGCCCTGGCCTGAACTTCCAATATATGTTGAATAAAAACTGTGAGAGAGGGCCTCCTTGTCGTATACTGGATTTTGTCGGGAATGCTTCCAGGTTTTGGCCATTCAACATGATACTGGCTGTGGATTTGTCATAAATAGCTCTTATTATTTTCATATAATACCAACATGAAGGGATGATGAATTTTATCAAAGACCTTTTCAGCATCTATTGAGATTATCATGTGGTGTTTGTCTTTGGTTTTGCTTACGTAATGGATTATGATTATTGATTTGCACTTGTTGAACCAGCCTTGCATCCCAAAGATGAAGCTGACTTGATTGTGGTGAATAAGAGTTTTGATGTTCTGCTGGATTTGGTTTGCTAATACTTTATTGAGGATTTTCATGTCAATGTTCATCAGGGATATTGGCCTGAAGTTTTCTCTTTTTGTTGTTTCTCTCTGCCAGGTTTTGGTATCAGGATGATGCTGGCTTCATAAAATACACTGGGGAGGAGTTCCTCCTTTTCAATTGTTTGGAATAATTTTGGAAGAAATGGTACCAGATCCTCTTTGTACCTCTGATAGAATTTGGGTGTGAATCCATCTGGTCCTGGGTTGTTTTTGGTTGGTACTGCCTCAAATCCAGTACTTGTTATTGGTCTATGCAGGGAATAAGCTTATTCCTGGTTTAGTCTTGGGAGGGTTTTTATGTCCAGGAATGTATCCATTTCATCTAAATTTTCTAATTTATTTGCATAGAGGTATTTATCATATGCTCTGGTGTTAGATTGTATTTCTGTGGGGTCAGTGGTGATATCACCTTTATCATTTTTTATTGTGTCTATTTGATTTTTTTTTTTTTTTGAGACAGAGTCTTGCTCTGTTCCCAGGATACAGTGAAGTGGCATGATTTTGGCTCACTGCAACCCCCTGAGTAGCTGAGATTACAGGCATGTGCCACCATGCCCAGCTAATTTTTGTGTTTTTGCATTTTTAGTTGATTTATTGGAGGGTTTTCTGTGTCTCTATCTCCTTCAATTTTGCTTTGATCTTAGTTATTTCTTGTTTTCTGTTAGCTTTTGGATTTGTTTGCTCTTTCCTTTGTAGCTCTTTTAATTGTGATCTTAGAGTGTTGAGTTGAGATTTGTCTAGCTTTCTGATGTGGGCATTTAGTGTTATAAATTTCCTTCTTAATACTGTGTTAGCTGTGTCCCAGAATCTGGTATGTTGTCTCTTTGTTCTCATTGGTTTCAAAGAACTTCTTGATTTCTGCCTTAATTTTATTATGGGCTCAGGAGTCATTCAGGAGCAGGTTGTCCAATTTCCATGTAATTTTGTGATTTTGAGTAAGTTTATTAATCCTGAGTTCTAATTTGATTGCACTGTGGCCTGAGAGATTCTTTGTCTCAGTTTCAGTTATTTTGCTGAGGAGTGTTTTACTTTCAATTATGTGGTCAATTTCAGAATAAGTGCCATGTGGTACTGAGAAGAATGTGTATTCTGTTGATTTGTGGTGGAGAGTTCTGTAGATGTCTACTAGGTCTACTTTATGGGACCTGAGTTCAAGTTCTGAATATCATTGTTAATTTTCTGTCTCATTAATCTGTCTAATATTGACAGTGGGTGTCAAAGTGTCTCAATATTATTGTGTGGGAGTCTGAGTCTCTTTGTTGGTCTCTAACTTGTTTAGTGAATCTGGGTGATCCTATATTGGGTGCATATATATTTAGGGTAGTTTGCTATTCTTGTTGAATCGATCTCTTTACCATTATGTAATTCCCTTCTTTGTCTTTTTTGATCTTTATTGGTTAAAGTCTGTTTTGTCACAGACTAGGATTGCAACTCCTACTTTTTCTTGTTTTGCATTTGCTTAGTAAAATTTCCTCCATCACTTTATTTTGAACCTGTCTGTGTCTTTGCACATGAGATGGGTCTCTGAATACAGCACACTGATGGGTCTTGACTCTTTATCCAATTTTCCAGTCTGTGTCTTTTAATTGGGGCATTTAACCCATTTACATTTAAGGTTAATATTGTGATGTGTGAATTTGATCCCGTCATAATGATGCTGTCTGGTTATTTTGCACACTAGTTGATGCAATTTCTTTATAGTATCATTAGTCTTTATAGTTTGGTGTGGTGTTGCAGTGGCTGATGCCAGCTTTTCCTTTCTGTATTTAGTGCTTTCTTCAGGAGCTCTTGCAAGGCAGGCCTGGTGGTCACAAAATCCCTTGGCATTTGTTTGTCTGTAAAGTATTTTATTTCTCATTCACTTATGAAGCTTAGTTTGGCTGAATATGAAATTCTCTGCTGAAAATTCTTTCTTTAAGAATGTTGAATATTGGCTTCTTCCTCTCTCCTGACTTGTAGCGTTTCTGCCAAGAGGTCTGCTCTTCGTCTGATGAACTTCCCTTTGTAGGTGACCTGGCCTTCCTCTCTGGCTGCCCTTAACATTTTTTCTTTCATTTCAATCTTGGAGAATCTGGTGATTATGTATCTTGGGGTTGATCTTCTCATGGAGTATCTCAGCAGTGTTCTCTGCATTTCCTGAATTTGCATGTTGGCCTGTCTTGCTAGATTGGGAAGGTTCTCCTGGATAATATCCAGAAGTATGTTTTCTAGCTTGTTTCCATTCTCCCAGTCTCCTTCGGACACTCCAATCAATCATAGGTTTGGTCTTTTTACATAGTCCCATATTTCTTGGAGGCTTTGTTCATTCCTTTTCATTCTTTTTTCTCTAATCTTGTCTGCATGCCTTATTTCAGCAAGGTTGTCTTCAAACCCTAATATCCTTTCTTCCACTTGGTCGATTTGACTATTGATACTTGTGTATGCTTCATGAAGTTCTTGTACTGTATTTTTTCAGCTGCATCATGTCATTTATTTTCTCCCTAAACTGAGTATTCTAATTACCACTCCTCTCACCATTTATCAAGGTTCTTAGTATCTTTGCATTGTGTTAGAACATGCTCCTTTAGCCCAGTGAAGTTTGTTATTACCCATCTTCTAAAACCTACTTCTGTTAATTTATCCATCTCATCCTCCGTCTACTTCTGTGGCCTTGCTAAGAGAGGCGCTGTGATCATTTGGAGGAGAAGAGGCACTCTGGCCTTTTGAGTTTTCAGCGTTTTTTTGTTGTTGTTGATTCTTTCTCATTTCCATGAGCTTGTCTAGTTTTGATCTTTGAGTCTGCTAACCCATGGATGAGTTTTTTGGGGGGAGATTTTGGTTGTTGTTGATGCTCTTGTTGTTGCTTTCTCTCTCTTTTTTTTCCCCAATGGTCAGGTACCTCTTCTGTAGGGTTGCTGTGGTTTGTTGGACTTTCATTTCGGGCCCTATTCATCTAGTTCACTCTTGCATCTGCAAATGTCACTCAAGGAAGCCGGAGAACAGGAAAGATAGGTGTCTGCTTCTTCCTCTGGGATCTCTGACCTCGAGGGGCACCAACCTGAGGCCAGTAGGATTGCTCCTGTATAGGGTGTCTGACAACCCCTTTTGGGGTGTTTTACCAAGTTTGGTAGTACATGAAACAGGACCCAATAATGTTCTTTATAATTTCTTTGTCCCTTTGTTTGGAAATGTGTTTTCTTCCTAAACCCTTTTAAGAATTAAAACATGAATATTTGCTTGCCAATTTCCAAACCAATCAATAGTTCAAAATACAAAAACTAATAATTGATAGTATCAGAATCTCAGGGAGTGGAACCTAGAAACGTGTATTTTAATCAAGTACCCTGGGTGATTTTTATTCATGATAAACTGGAGAACTAGATTAGAAAACAATTATACCAGAAAAATAGCCTAAATTAGGCGAAGGCAATTAGGCTTTAATTTTATCTATTTGTTACTTTATAGTCAAGGCAAAATGGAAGCAGGCATTACTGAATTCTCATTATCTAACAAAAGAAAATATAGCAGATGATAAGAAGAGATATATTTTATGAGAACAATGAATATGAAGAGTAATTTTCGCTGTCTGACTTTAAATATTCTTTCAAATAAGTTTTTAAATAGGGACATTGATCAACATAATGCACTGTATCATCAGGAGCTATACTACAAAAAATAAAGGTTTTCCTACCTTCTGTTGCTAAAGCCAAAACCATTATATTTAAATCATATTTCTGCAAATAATTTTTTTTCAGAGCTAAAGTAATTGTTCATGTGTATACTATTTTGAACATGCACAAGCATAAAAAATGCAGAAGAACTTTTGCTTTTCATGTACTAATGGAGCAATTTCATGATTTACTCTGTGCTCAATACTATGTATGCATTAAGCATACAGATAAGGCTAACATAGAGGCTTGGTCCTCAAGGAATTATAATCTACAGGGGAAACAGATCAGTACGCAAAATGGTACACTATGCTGTAATTTGTTTTTCTTTTTGAAACAGGGTCTCTGTCACCCAGGCTAGACTGCAGTGGTGCGATCTTGGCTCACTGCAACCTCTACCTCCTGGATTCAAGCAATTCTCCTGCCTCAGCCATCCTATGCTGTGATAAATTTTTACTTAAACATGTTTATAGTTATCTCAGGGGAACAAAGGGGGAAGGCTGCATAGAG